TGGAAGCGGTGCGGTGCGGGGACCCTCCCTTATCATCCACCTCTGCACTGGGACCTTTTTTCCAGGGCGCAAGGGCGGGGCCGCCGGGGTTGGTGGAGAAGCGGCCTCCTCCCCGCTGCGGGGCGGGACTGTTCGAGCTGCTGCAGCCGCCCTGAGCTCTTTCTCCCCCACCCCCCGCTGCCGCCGCCGCCGCCGCCGCTGCTCTCCCTGGAGCCCTGCTGGGTGCGGAACAGTGCAGCGAGGGGAACTGTGCACGGAGGTCGCGGTTGCACCCTGGGTTGCGTTGCCTGCAGCCCCAGCAGGAAGTGCCCTGAGTGCTAGTCGATAGAACGTGCCGCTGCGGCGCGCGCTGCAGGCACCGGCTTTTCCCGGGGAGTCCCGGACTCAAAGCCGCTGGGCGGGCTCGGGTCCCGCACAGGGGAAAAGGCAGCAGGGGCTGCCAGGAGTCTGGGTCGCTGGTATGTTATAAATAACCTGGTGGCTTTTCTGTCCCAGCACTTAGGCTCCGGAACAGGAGGGAAACCCCAAATAACTCCCCTCCCCCCTCTGGCTGGTTGTTTCTGGTGTTGTTGTTTGTTTGTTTGTTTGTTTTGCGTTTTCCTCAGCACAGCGGGATAAAATCCATGGAGTCCGTCTGGTTCTTCCTGCTTCTAGTCAGTTCCCCCCAGGTCTGTTGCCGCGCTGGGGATGCAAATGCTGCACGGAGGGGGGATATGACAGTGTGTGTCGTTAAAAACCGCTGTTCCCACTAGTCTAGTTTAAAAACAAACCAAGGCGCGAACATTTCCCTTAGCAAAGTTAGTAAAACTTCCGGGCGCGGGGAGAGGTTACAACATCCAATATTTTGGACAGAGGTGGGTTGAATCTGTCCCTTTAATTCTCATCTGTGTTATTCCTTATAGGAAAACCTTTGTCGTTCTATTCCAGGCCATACTGCAGCTGGGAAAGGTTATTTTGCTTTTCATAATGACCCTCTATGCAAGGGGGACAAGCATCTCGTAGGGTTGTTAAGCAGCACCTCCGTCAACCTTCCAAAAAGAAAATGTGGGGGTAAGGAGAAGCCATAGCAGCTGCAGAGAGCAAGGACTGAGAAGGGAGAGCATCCCCTCACAGAGAACAACTGGGGAAAGTTTTGGCCTGTGTTCTCCATTAAATCACGACTCCAAAGTGTGGTGTTGAACAATTGTTTTGTAGAGTTCTGGCTCACTTTCTCTTTTTCCTTCTGGTCTTCCTGTTTATTTCTCTTCATTCCATGCATGGATGCAGCTGTTCTCTCCCCAAGATGTCCAGGGCTTCTTCTGGCAGATTTTCCTGTCCTGACCTGGCCTTTCTCCACTTTAGCGTGTTTCTCTCCCGCCCCATTCCTACCCTTCATGAGCCAATCTACTTTCTATCCCCTCTTCCCCACCTGCCTGTCCTCTCTCCTTTCCCATGCCCAACTTCTTCACATGGAGACCGGAGCCCAACTACTGCTCACTCTCCAATGCAGCTGATGAGAGTGTTTTGGAGGGTGACTGGCAGTGAATTTGCGAGGCTCTCACCCTTTCTCTCCAAGTGTCATGAGCTCACATTAAGATGAAGAATTTGGGACAGACTGGAAATAGAACAAGGGTGGCGGGATACAGAGATGGTGCATTGGGGAGAATACAACCGAGGCAGCAGGGCATGCTGTCCAATGCAGCCATCTCAGGTGCATTGTGGGACAAAAGGTCCAAGACCAAGAAGTGATGGCTGTTTAACCATAGCTGTGTACTGGCTTCTCCTCAACCAAATGTGTTGACTGGCCCATCCTTAGAGGGACAGGCCTGCAAAGCTGAGCAGCATTATTATGATATGGACTCCAGAGGCAGCGCTCTCCGGGAGAGAGACTAATGTGCTCCCAGTTAGATTTCATGAGTCATTGTGTTTGTGGAATCATTTTACACCTTGTAAGCAAGTTTTGATACTAAGGAGAGGTGCCGGAGCCAGGAGTCTGTTTATCCACAGCACAAGCAACAGCATGCCATGGTCCCCACAGACCACCAGCAACGTGCCTCAACCCAGCAGCGACCACCTACAGGAGTGACAGGAGTCTGGACTCTGCATCTATTCGCTGCCTCTTCTGTAATGCCAGCAAGAGGGTGGGGAGCACTTTGAGCCAGTTATGGCAGTGTTTTGGTGTGTGGATGTTTGTCCACAGGGCAGGGGGCTGAGACCATGGACTCATTTCACATGGGAGTCACCCTTTGGACTGTAACTCTCAGTTGCTACTGTCCAAGGCGAAACAGAGCTGGTGACTGAGAGGCGAAAAGCCATGTTTCCTGCTCCCCATTCCCAGTGTCCTGCCCCTACTAGTTTCCTGCTGTTTAATCTCAATCCTTTAAACATAGATGCATTTTGTGATAGCATGAATGATTGTTTGTGTTTTCCTGTACAGCATGAGTGCCTTTCTGGCTGGGAGTGGGGAAAGCACCCTGCTCTCTGGTGGGTGGATTCCCTTTGACTCACTAGCCCATAAGCCACATGTGCACGTGCTCCCTCTCTCTCCCTCTCTCTCTCAGCAGAGGAATGGTGCCCTGAGCTGGTGCCTTGCTGTGAGGAGATGCCCGCAGGATGCCTTTCACAACGCCCGCGGGCATGAGAAGACTCCCGCAGCAGCAGAGTGTCTGGTGGGCATTTAGCAGCCGTGATGTGGGAGTGTCAGGTGGTGAGGAGACCATGCCGCTGGCCTGCCGAGGCTTGAGATTGAGTAGGTCTGGTGAAGGTGGCCCGGGAAGGAAGGACACGCTTGGCAGCTTGGAAACCATAAGTGGCCTCTGATGAGATGAGGCTCCTCACCAGCCCGTTGCGCCGGATGCTGTTGGGCCTCCAGAATCTCTGTGAAGGAGAAGGAGGGAGTCCTGCCAAATGCTGTGTCCTAAACCCCCACCGCCTGCTTCGGAGGGAGAATTTCAGTGCTAAAGTGACAGCCATTGAGCTGGTCAGCTACTGGCGAGGTGTGTTTGAGGCGAATGGGATCCCTGAAGCACAGGAATCCAGCGAGTATATCGTTTCCTACGTCCTGGGAGCAAAGACAGTTAAGTGGTGCAGAAGGAATTATGATTGTGTGGTCAGAGCACTCCTGATTCATCAGCAAACTTGGTGATCTTGACTAGATTGTTTAATCTCTCTGTGCCTCTGTTTCCGTAGCTATGAAATGGGGAGACTGACACTTTCCTGTCTCATACAGGGATGGGGGTGAGGCTAAATTCATTAATTTTTGTAAAGTATTTTGCCCTCCTCTAATGATTTCTATACAGGGATCTGCCAGGGTTAGCACTGGTTGTAGCATGGGAAACAGGCACCCAGATTGTGCCCGGACCTGTGGCTGTGTGGCCTTGAATTTGGCCCACTCTTCTGAACCCCAGAACTTAGCAGGTAAATGCAGAGGAACTGTTTGAATCAGTGACTTCTAAGTCTCTATGTAGATTCTGCTAACAATTTGGGATCTCAAAGAGTCTGGGGTGTTATTTATTGGTGAATGTTCGGGGACAGGAGAAAGAGGTGAGCAAGCTGCACAGTTGGGCAGGTATTAAAGTGATTTCCTCTTCAGTTTCACAGCTTGGGTGCTGGCAGCCTCTCCACCCCGCTCACATTGGAGCAGCGGCAGCAGATTCAGCAGCTGAGTATGAAGCGGCTACAAAGGTAGGAGCGTCCCCTTTTAAAATCATCCAGCATCTCTTCCTTCTAGTGGGAAGGAAGTAGCATGGAGGAAACAAACAGAGCGAGGGGGGTTGTGTTCACGTTCAACATGCTAGAGCAGATGCTAGCGCCGTGTCGTTGAATGACCAGGGAGCGGCGGTAATAGGAGTTTGCCATTAGAACAAGGAGGATGCATGGGGTGAAACTTTACAAAAGAGGCCAGGCCCAGTTGGATGTTGGCTCTGAGTCCATTAGAGAAACTACCAGTAGTGCCTTGTGCTGCCACTCCCCTGTCAGTTTCCACTGGCTATGGTCCTCTTCTCAGCTCCCTGACCTCAACTGTTGTGCAGTGTTGCCGTGCAGTGTTAAATAGTTGTCACGTTCCACCCCAGAGATGGCAGATCCAGCCTCTGGGGAATTTTCCTGATGTTGGGGTCTCCCTGGCTGTGGTAGAGTTGGCAAAACCCAGTATTCCCCTCCCTCCCCACAGGATCTCTCAGTACAGGGTGAATTGGGCCTGGTGTCTGCAAGTCACCTGGAATTGGAGATGATGGGGCAGTCTGTGAGGAGAGGAAATGCTTAGGGACTTGAATCATTGAGAAAACTGAGACCTCCAGGAAGGCATCTGGAGTGAGCCTAGAGGAGATATGGAAAAAAACTTAACCCTTTGGCTACTGCAGACATACATCCTCCCAATTATCCATGTGACCGGTGGTTATGGAACATGCTTGTGTCCTGCAGTGAGGGTTACCTCTGCAATGCACGACAGGGGAGTATGTAGGGGATTCTAGAAGAGGCATTGTGTGTCAGCAGTGGATGCTGGGCTTCATGTATTATCTCCTCACTGCCCATGTGCTCATGGATCATCTTGTTAGACCCCTTCAGTTCCACATCCAAGGATCTTTAGCAGTGCCAGGCATTGCCCTCCATCCCCTGAAGCGAAGGTGCTGGCAATGACAATGCCCATGGCTTGGAGGTTGATAAGAAGGTGATTGAGGGCTTGTCTGTAACAGGGGAGCCTACTCCTAATGTGATGCGTAACCCACCCCGTCCTGTTGCAGGATGCCTGTGCAGTACGTCCTTGGTGAGTGGGATTTCCGGGAACTGACCCTCAAGATGAGACCCCCAGTCTTCATTCCTCGGCCCGAGACAGAGGTAAGACCTTGGAAAGGAGGCGTTTAAACTGCTCTTCCATGTACTGAATTGCTACAGATGTGCCCTGTACTGTATGAGAGTCTGTCTATAGGTGATGAGTTGCACAGACCGACCACCTCACGCTTCCTTGGGGAGGTGTGTGTGGTGGGGGGGAGGGTGGAGAGGAGGCAGAAAGGAGATATCTGAGACTGTTGTAGGCGAACTTTGCTTCCTGGCCCATGCTGTTGGGTGATAAACTGTGTTTCTCCCAGCCCCACACTAGGGCAGACTTTGCTAGCGAATCTATTTCACCTTGGCCAGTCACAAGGAAACCCCAAGTGGAAGTAGTTGGAGTATTTTCCTTTTTTTCTGCTATGGTAATGGCTTTCTCCATAGGCTAAGGACATTGTTAATAGAGCCCAATGGCTTGCTACTTTGATACCAGAATAAGAAGCCTGCAGCTATTCAGAGCTTATGTTAACAAAATCAGCCTGTGGTTGAAGGTAGCAATCACTCTTCTTGAAATCTCAGGATATTGGTAGTGGGATACCTGGAGCCTATTTGTGTCTTTGCTGCTTCAGATTGAGCCTGGGTTGGTAGAGGATGGAAGCTGTTCCCTTTGGGTAGCTTCTGCAGGACAAGCACTGAAGAAACTGGACTCAGATCACTGACTCATTCCCTAGGCCACCAAACAGGTCATTTCTGGCATGGACTGGATTTGAACCAGTGTCTAGACATGGTGGGGTCATACCGATCCCTTGAGTCACCCATGTGTTCCTCTGTCACCATTCCAGGTGGATAAGTAAGGAAACTGGATGGCTAAGAGGATTGGCCATGGAGCTTTTCATCTCTGGCTCAAATCTGCTCCCAACTGGTTAGTAACTAAGTGCTTTTACCATTTGACTACAGCTTGATGGCCATTATGAACTAAATTGGTGGGTCACTGCTCAGTTCCTCCTAGGCAGGTGCCCACATCACAAAAGTGACTGATACAATTAGCCTCCTTGCTGGTAGTCTCAGAGATGCCCAAGGCAGGAGGAGTCATGGAGACTGAAATACGTAACCCATATAGGATGGATCTGCTAGCTCACGGGTGAGATGTATTGGGGATGGGGGGGGAAGACTGTGTGGAAAGCACCTAGATGTACTGTACCTGATCTGTAGATAAAGAGAGGACCTCCAGTCCCCAAGGTTGTCCATCCTGCTTCTTTCATTAATCAAAAATAAAATATTTGAGAAAAAAACATTTATATTATTTGGTCAGGCAAGAGTATAGGAGTCCGATCCAGCTCTTCCTGAAGTCAGTGGCAAAGCTCCCATTGATTTTAATGGGAGGACGAGCAGGCCTCCTTCTCCTAGGTGAAGAATCCCATTACTCTAGCTTGTACAGTGACAGTATGAATGTTCAGCGCTGGAGTCCCAGTAAGGACTGTGACATCAGCACAACCTCATTAATTTCCTACTAATAGAGCCCTGGAAATCTGTGGATGTCTGCATCCTTGGACCATGTTTGCAGATCGTGGATTGGATGCAGATAAAAATTTTTTATCCATGCAGAGTTCTACCTACTAGGCAAAATTGCACCAAGATTGCTTTCTCTAAATGTAGTGCTCGCATCCAAGAGTGGAGACTGCCCGAGTTGTGTCTAATGCCTCACTTTTATCATGCTGGTTATGATGATCCAGTTTGGAGCAGGTGCCCTGAATGATGATTGTTTTCTTAATTAGAAAGCTGCCCCTCAACAGCTACATCCAAAATCAACAGCCAAAAAGGAGAGTTTCTAGTAGCTGTGTTGCACAGGTAGTCCTGTTCCTGTCAACTTCAGAGAACATTTCCGGCCTCTGACCCTCTTCTAATTCATGGCTGCAATGTTGGAACAAATGCCAGAGGGAGCCTGTATGTTCTGAAAGTTAAAACATCTGCTGATGAGGCTTCCTTCGGTGCTATGCTCTAATTCTTTCCATGCAACACCAGCCCCGCCAGTCCTTAAACAAAGGTCTATTGCATACAGAGCAGGCCATGATTGTCAATGCAAGAGAGCATTGCTGGTTGTGCCCATGTGCTTGCATGGTTTGGTAAATGCATCTCCACTGGCCCAAATTACAATGCAGTGTGCTGGAACATGCTACATTTAAAGGTGTTCAGCGCAGGCAGGAACCCTGTCTACAAGGGAAATTTTTACAAGTTAGACCACTATAACCCACTGTGGGACACTCCTATTCCAGTATAAGAGTGGCTTTTTTTTTTTTGGTATAGTTGAATCCCTTCACAAGTGACATAAATTAAACGTAAAGGAGGTCACTGTAAACTGGAATAAGACTGCCCACATAGGAGTTGATCCTGGTATAACTACAGTGATTCACACCTTAGGTTATAACAAAAGATCTTGCCCGTGCAGACAAGGCCCTAGACATCCCAGCCACAGTGCCTTTTTAACCAACAAAATGCAGCCAAATTCCTTCATTCCACCGAGTGGATCCCAGCTGAAATCTCCTCAGGGTCACCCCTCTTCTGCATGTGGGTGCCGAACCCTTTGTTGGTGCACTCCTAGAAATTCAAAAGGCTTTACATTTCCCCTTTGTTGAGGTTCCTGGGAATGTTTCTTATGTCAGCGAATTCCTTTGTAGAGAGACATGGCATGTCTTGCCACCCACTAATTTAGATCTAATTTGCCAAGCCTAACTGGAAGGAGGAAGAAATCAGGCAGGCACTTGTGAGAGGCCAGAGGCTGGCAGGCAGGTGGTCTGTGCTGCTGCTGAGTTTAGGAGGACAGAGGAGTTGTCTTATGTATCATTTCATCTGGAAATATAAGTGGAAATAACAAAGGATCTGATGAGTGAGGGTGATAGGGAGGAGTAGTGGGAGGGTGCTGATGAGTAGGGGTTAGAGGAGAACCTACCCTGTGGCAGAGTAAGTATCTGTCTTATTCAGAAAGCAGAGCAGCAGCAGCATATGCCCCAGGCTGCTGCTGCTTCTCTTGTAGCTGTTGCTGTTTCTTGGCTTTCTGTTGTCTCATCATAATTTCTGTCACGTCATATGCTGGTCAGCAGTGGCGTGGCGAGAGATGGTGAGGTATGCTGAGCTTCACTCTTGCTGCTGTGTAAGTCTGTGTATTTCTCAGGTCTGATTCTGTTGATTGTACATTAAATAATGGGAGCACCTGCTGCTGGCTCTGATGAAGCTGCTGTATTTTGAGCCAGCCACTTCTGGTATCTGATGCAGAGACGACTGAAGATCTGTGTGTTCTTTCTGCCTGGCCTTAATCCCATCCTACCCTGTCACCATTCCCAGCCATGCCCTCTAGTTTAATGTCAAGCTGACAAAAATATTGGGAACTCAGTTGTTTGTTGTCTTGAGAAGGTGTGTGGACAAGACCATTTACATCACAATCACACCAAACACGTGGCCTAGTTATCAGGCCGTTGACACTATGTGGTAGCACTCATGGGCCAGCTTTGGGGGAGGATAGTTGGATAGGAAGTGGGTGGGGACAGGTCCAGATATTGAGCACCGTCCAGCTGGATGATGCTTTGTGCATGTACTCTTTCCAAGCACTACGTACTGTGTATAATCTGTTGCACAAACTGAGTGGGTGTCCAGCTCCTTTCACTCTGCTGCTTCGGACATTGAGCTCTGTGTGGTGTGTTTCAAGGGTGGGTGTTGCTTTGCATATGTCGCCAATGTAACTTTTCAGGAATTCCATTTTACTTTAAAAATGCAACAGGAAAATCTCTAATTTATTTTTTGACCAAATAATGTAGTCAGTACATTTGAGCTGTCTTCCTGCTTGTGATTTGTCTGCAAGCAGTTTGCAATGTTCTCATAGTGATTGGTGGTTAGAAACCATTCACCAGATAACGTCTGAATAATTCTTGGTCTGTAGATCATCCACAGGCAGCTCACTGCCAGTAATTGTTATCCCATATTTGAACTGGTTCAGTCTGATTGCACGCAAGTCATCTGGCATGTTTCTGTTCCCTGATTGGCTGAGTGTAATTCTTACTATTGAGACTCTGATGCAGATATATTTACAAGTACAAAATGTGCTTCCTGTTGCTATTCGGTGAAACTTTGCTGCTTCCACAAATGTTCCTGCCTGTAAACGTGGGCACAAGCTAGGAGAAGGAGCTGTCTTTATTACACATTTGTATTGCACCTAGTACAATGGGGTCCTGGTTCTTGATTGGGGTCCCAAGGTGCTACATTAGTACAAAAAAGAATAAGGAAACAGACACGTAAGGAGTGTGAAACCAGCAAAATCATATTTGATTGTATGAGTGAATATATAAATGAAAAATAAACTCCTTTTTCTGGTTTTCTTTTTCACCTGTGTGAAATTCATCACTTTCTAGTCTATTCAAGTTCTTACGCTGTGCCCATCTCCATGGTGTGTAAACTCTCAACCCACAATTTTTTGCATTCATTTCAGCTCATACGGTTTCACACCCTTTCTTGTATTTTACATTAGCATTTGGATTTCTTTGAAACCTATCAGGGTGAAGCTGAAATTTCATGTGAATCAGAGTTCTTTTAAGCTCTAATCATTGACTTTGGGTCCATGAGTGCTCGTTCAGTTCAGATCCTTGCCAGATTTCTTTAAGAAACCGATACTAAACTGTCTCAGAAAATTTCTGCCTATTCAAGGGCTGCATAAGATTTCTGAGTATCAAAGTGAAAGGCTTAAGACACCAAAAACCTTTTGCAAGCAAGGTGGTTGGCTTTATTTCTGTATTTACACCCCAGATTTACCTGTATTAGCAGTTTGCATGGGTGGAGATTTTCTTGCCAAAGGTTGGCTCTTCTCTACTTTTCGTGTATTGTTATTGTTATGTATCTTATTTTTTGGATTGAAGTGGTGCCATCATGGACCAGGACCCATTGTCGTAGGTTCTGTAGAAACAGAAAAATACAGTCCCTACCCCAAAGAATTTACAGTCTAGATAGAGTATAATTCCACAATGGGTCCTTGGTCTTTTGGGGAAACACCTTCCACAGATTCCCAGGCTAGATTGTGTGCTGTT